CATTAACTGTAAACCATAACATATTAGAACTATACACGAGTTGTTTGATTCATTAACTGTAAACCATAACATATTAGAACTATACACGAGTTGTTTCATCCATTAACTGTAAACCATAACATATTAGAACTATACACGAGTTGTTTGATTCATTAACTGTAAACCATAACATATTAGAACTATACACGAGTTGTTTCATCCATTAACTGTAAACCATAACATATTAGAACTATATACGAGTTGTTTGATTCATTAACTATACAAATTAGAACTATATACAAGTTGTTTGATTCATTAACTGTAAACCATAACATATGACATATAAACTAAACAAGCTAAACTTTGTTCCTTCTGAAACTAAACGGGATAAACTCTATTCCTGTTGTAACTAAACGGGCTAAACTTTGTTCCTGCTGAAACTAAACAGGCTAAACTTTGTTACTGATGAAACTAAACGGGATAAATTTTGTTCCTCCTGAAACTAAATGGGCGGAACTTTGTTCCTTCTGAAATGAAACGGGCTAGACTCTATTCCTATTGAAAGTAAACGGGCTAGGCTCTGTTCCTGCTGAAGCTAAACGGGCTAAATTTTGTTATGCTAAGTATATAATTATTCTGTTTGAAAAAAAAAAGGATTACTTATTATACGCTGTTACAATCCTTAAAATTAGCCATAGCTACAATGCTATCAAATACTTCGCAAGAACGTAACTTTAATGTTCCACTGTTAGTTATGATGCTTTTCGAAGTGTTATAAGTATGGAGAATATGACATTCATGATATGAAAAATATTACTGTTGTAATTTGTGCTTATGGAGATTACGCTACTGCAAATGGTTTTGGCATCAGCTTTTTGCACAAAGATTGCATCACTGCAAATGAATTTTGATGAAAGTCTACATCTAACGTATATAAAAGCCAGTGTGTGTGACACGTCACATCACGCTTGATTTGTTTAACTAGGAGGAGTCATAAAATCAAAAAGGAATTTATCCATATAGGATAGTTCGATTACCGCCTGCCCGTTACGGTTTTAGTGACCGGGGTGCAAGTGGGCCGTGAGGGGGATGTGCATGAAACCTTGTAAGTGTAGTGAGTGTTGGTACAATTAGACTAATGTAAAGACTTAGTGTGGGATCACCTAGCCTAGAGCCAATTGCATAAAATTTATCATGAAAGTAAATATATTGATTCAATTTTAAACTTATGTCGTTTCTGAATTAAGCTATTTTCTGTTATATCACCAAAGTTTTAATAATAACGAACCTCTTTAACCAACGAAGACTCTCAATTCAGAAATCAACAAATATTCTCCAGTTTTGTTGTCTATAAATTTCATTTCATACTTTCAGTACATATAGACTAACAACAATATTAGGTTACACTTTTGTTGCTAAGCGACATAAAAGCCATTGTTGGAACGTAATGTTAACAAAACGCACTGGCTTGTCTATACATTAGAAGTTGTTAATCTAACTGATTTTTACCAATAATTATTCTACGAATTTATTTCACGAATTATCTCAATTTTCATTGGCTCACAAAGGAATTTACCGACGTGTGACTGCCTCGACTGAACTTTTCTACCTCTTTTTTTGGTCAAGCTTGATTTTGCAAAATGTATATATTTCAGTTAGCTATGAAATGTGAGGTTAGGGTATAGTGTGGGGTGGGGGTGGTAGTACTTGCCCCATCATTTTTGACGGGCTATATGCTAGTATTATAAATAAAAATCCAAGTTTCAACAAAAATTCCAACTCTTCCCCCTTGGTTTATTCAAGTAGATCCCTCTATATCTTTTTCAAATGAATGTTTTATAAATTGCTAACACTATTCATTGTATTCTTTACTGAAGATTGAATGTATGTAATTCCAAAACGTTCATTAAAGATGTTTAAAACTGTTGCCATGGCTCTACTATTAATTACCTGACTTTGTTTTCCACCAAATAAATAAAGTGAATTTAAATTTGAATTCAAGAATGGAATACCAAATATAACAGAAGTATAAAGATAATAAGATAAGTATACAGAAAGTCGCCCAACAACAAACCTAGATGTAAGATACATTGTCACATGGTGTAATTAACTAAAAAATTGTTACAAAGTTACTGTTGGTATAAACTGCTAGAGAACACACCTACGAAACTGGATTTAGCTTTACGTATACACACTGAAATTCTAATTTAGTGATACTCCATTTCGATGTAAGCCTCAAGATACTATGTAGGCGTAGGTCAATTTGAAATTACGTTTTTTTTTTCTTTTCCAATTTCACCAGTCACACTCAATCATTACAAAAAAAATTGATTTTCAAAACAAAACTCAGCTTCTATATACAAAATTAACACTTTAATAGAACAAGTTTTCTGGATATATTAATTATTCTACTATTAATTTATGTGTGTATATATATATATATATATAAACAAAAACGTAAAATCCTGTTATTGTCTTACCTTCCGATCCAATCACAATCGTCTCCCGAAAAGGCGAAAGTCCTAGCACACATAAATATGAGGAGAACGAAAGTCACGAGGATGGAGGTTTTCCAGGGTTCGGCCCGGGCTAACCGTAGCCCCATCGCCGCGACAGGCTGGAAGTTTGGAATACTTCAATATCTTCGCCTTAATTTTTCAATAGCATAGGCAATACCATTTATTATAGACAAGTTAATAACTACACTGTTGACATAGCAGTGATGCTTATAATGATACCAAGAATGAACTGAAACCTTCAGCACGTATAGTTATAAATTATAGTTTGCAAAACTGTCTTCATACTGATTGTAATTATTCAGTGTCAATACCATTAATAATAATAATATCAGATACTTACTCGTGTTACATACACAATTTGGTTACATTGTCAACCATAGGTTAAGAATAACGTGCCAATTACCAAATTGGGAAGATTAAAAAAAATAACATTTCTCACAAATAAATGCGAAGTTAAGCCTAAGTCACTCCTGCTTCAATTCATAAAAGTTAACTCCTCATTCATATTTAGTTACTAGGCAGATATTAAAAGTTACTGAAAAATTCTGCTTTCAAACGCGATTACACGTCTATTTGTTTTCTCACGACTCGAAACGCGCGAAATACCACATCATGATTTTCAACAACCACTGCACCAGACGACCCGCATCAAGTGAAAAGCTTTTCCGCTGATATCACTCTGACGCCTGTTCGCGAAGAGCATTGATTGGCCAGTTTCGGTAATTTTTTATGTGCTGCCATCTATAGACGCAAAATTGAGGGTAATAATTTGTTTCTGCCATTGAGATTATTAAAGAAAAAGAAAGAAAATCTGAAGTGATACTTAAAGTTTTTATTGCGATAGAAATAATAAAATATAAAAACAAAATGATACGCAGGCATACTTCAACTATAACTGGATCATAAAAACGGGTAACGGAGCAATCACAGAGATTTGCATATCTTCGCCCCACCGCTCCTTTTCGAGATTGCATGCGTTTATATTCGTTAACGTAAGACTTTACCTTCGAAAACTCAGAAAATCCTTCTCAGGTCCAGAATAATCAACGATCCGGATCATTTTTTGTAGTGTGATGAGGAGTCTCAACCATAATATGCCCATGAAATGTGATACAAATCCGATCACTCTTTACAGAGTTATTAACCGAAAACCACGAAAATGACCTATCTACCCATTATAAAAAAATGCTTCAAAGATCCAGAATCCGTGGCCGGATTTTGATCCGGACTCAATTTGAAGAGGACTATTCCATACTGACTTTCCATCTTGTGTAAAATTTTGTGTACATCGGTCTATCAGTTCGCGAAAACACAGATACACACACACACACGGACGCGATTTTAATACCTTCTCAGGGCGAGGGTAATAACATGTTTTAGCTCAACAAATAATTTTCACAGATAAAAACAAAAGTATCACAAACTCTTCAAATTTTGATTTGAAGAGATAAGCGCCACCCACCTACTTTAATATTTTATCTGGGGTGAGGATAGGGGATAATAACGTTGGGGGGGGGGGAGTATATATTCATATATTTTGTTTCGGAAGGAAACATCATTTACTTATCCTATCTTATTTATTTCTTATCTTATGAATAGCTATATGTGTCACGCATATTTATTAATTTTAAAAATTGTCGCGCGCGAAAGGTGTATGTGAACAATGTTGAATTTGAATGTTTTGAACACTTTTAAACGTTAAGATTGTCATGTTTTTGTTTTGTTACATCTAGATGATATGCCACCAGGTGGCCAATGGTTTTGTTTGTTTTGTTGAATTTCGCGCAACGTTATAAGAGGACTATCTACGTTAGTCGTCCCTAAATTAGTTTGGTTTGTCATGAATTTCGCGCAAAGCTACACGAAGGCCCTAATTTAGCAGTATAAGACTTGAGGATATTTGAAACCTTTGAATTGTATACAGTTGACCTTGACAACCTTTGAACTGTATATAGTGACTAGAAATTCAAGTTAACCTTGACAACCTTTGAACTGTATATAGTGACTAGAAATTCAAGTTAACCTTGACAACCTTTGAACTGTATATAGTGACCAGAAATTCAAGTTAACCTTGACAACCTTTGAACTGTATATAGTGACCAGAAATTCAAGTTAACCTTAACAACCTTTGAACTGTATATAGTGACCAGAAATTCAAGTTAACCTTGACTTACATAGCAATGTATATTCAGAATTTTTGTATATTCTTGGATACTCAGAATTTAAATTTGCTGTTGTGACATACATTATCTGTTTCGTTTTATTTTTTATCGTTTGTTTGTTTTTAAGTTCACGCAAAGCCACACCAGGGCTATCTGCGCTAGCCGTTCATAGTTTAGCAGTGATAGACTAGAGGGAAGGCAGCTAGTCATCACCACCCACCGCCAATTCTTGGGCTACTCTTTTACCAACGAATAGTGGTATTGACCGTTACATTATAACGTCACCACGGCTGAAAGGACGAGCATATTTGGTGGGACAGGGATTCGAGCCCGCGACCTTTATTGGGGAGTCGAGCGCCCTATCCACCTGGCCACGCTGGAGGGAAGGCAGTTATTTAAAACACTACCCACCGCCAACTCTTGGACTAACAAACTTTATAGAGGGATTTGACCATCAATTTTATAACACACTGGGAGGCAGGACCCAAAGAACACAGCGCGATTTCTTTATTTTATTTCCACATTCCGGCAAGCTAATAACTAGACCCGAAGAAAGTGAACCGGTAATTACTCCACCAGGTCCCCCCCCCCAAAAAAAAAGAATCACGTACTAAAGCTCGTTCTTAAACAAAACCCTCAGCCCACATTCCTTCCAAAACAAAATATTTAGGTAACAAAACTTCTCCCTTTTATTAAATGTAATGAAAAGTTTGTATTAGTTTGAATTAATGTGTATTAATTATTACATTGCAACGAAGATGGCTTATTTGTTTGTTTGTTCTTAATTCTGCACAATGGACTATCTGCGCTGCGCCCGCTGCAGGGACCAAACCTCGAATACCCTCAAGTTTATCGCTTAGCCACCAGATGGCGAGTATTACACTTATTAGCTTGTTTGTTTGTAGTTAAGCACAAAGCTACACAATGGCCAATCTGTGATCTGTCCACCACGGGTATCGAAACCCGGTTTCTAGCGTTGAATTCCGCAGACATACCGCTGTGCCACTTGGGGGAGGGGTTCACTTATTAGCACTCTAGTATTCAGTAATCGTTACGGCATTAACAGCAAAGTACCATTTTACTGTTTGGCCTCACGCAGATGTTTGTCTGTCAGTTTCAGTTTATTTACCTGAGACTTCGTTATTGGTGTAGCTTTGTGCTTGATTTCAAACAAACAAACAAATCATTTTTGATGGCGCACGATATACATACAAACCGATAAGAGAAACGTTCTATGTGAAACTTGTAATTAATAAGTTGCGTTCGAAAACACCATGAGATTTCAAGGACTTTTAATTTTGTAGTTACTCGGCGTTTCGCTTTACATCTTCTCCGTCCGGGAGTGTTCTACATAAGTTTTCAAAATATATAGCCCCCCCCAGTGGCACAGTGGCATGTCTGCGGACTTAAAACGCTAGAAACCAGGTTTCGATTCCCTCGGTGGACAGATCACGGATTGGTCATTGTGTAGCTTTGTGCTTAACTACAAACCAACAAATTGAAATACACATTAAATATCGGCTTTAGGATCAACCTGTGATTGGAAGAGAGATTTTAGTCTGATAGAGTACATTCCGGAATCTTAGTCGTCTCCAAACCTACGACTGCACTTCGATTCTACAACCGTGCGTTGTATTCTGATGTTAAGCCACGAGCAATAGATGCGTCAAAGAACGAGTATTTCCGGTTTTCTTTGAATATGTTTTAGTCCGAAGTGGCGGTTCGGCACGATTTTTCTCTCCATTTTTTTTTCTTTTCACATACATCTGACAGTAGGTTCCTCTTCACAGGAATTACTCCACATTATATTTGGCATTGCCTGGTGGTTATGGCACTCGACTTGCAATCGCCGGGTTGCGGGTTCGAATCCTGTCACCGAACACGCTCGCCCTTGCAACCGTGGGAATGTTATGATATGACGCTCAATTGCATTTTTTCGTTGGTAAAAGAGTAACCCAAGAGTTAGCTATGGGTGGTATTGACTTCCCTCTAGTCTGCCATTCCTAAATTAGGGACAGCTAGCGCAGATATCCCTCAGGTAGCTTTGCATGAAATTCACAGAAACAAACATACTACACAGCAGTAAGCTGATGGCTCATTTTTTGCAGGATTGCGATACTTTTTAATATTTTGTTTGGGAGGATAATAGCCAAAATCTATTCTGGTATATTTTGTCTGTGGGGATAAGTGCCACGACCTCTTCTAGTATATTTTTTTTGTGGGGATAAGCGTCACGTACCCCTCTTGGTGTTGTCAAATGGTCTATTTGTATTATCTGGCAATCATTTTTCTGTGTGCCAACTAGAAGGCTTTCTCTCAGCAACAACACAAATAATGATTTTGATGACATAAAGTTTGGTTTGTTTGGAATTTCTCAAAAAGCAACACGAGGGCTATCTTCACTAGCCGTTCCTAATTTAGCAGTGATAGACTGGAGGGAAGGCAAATAGTCAACACCACCCACCGCCAATGCAGATAGCTCTCGTGTAGCTTTGTGCGAAATTCCAAACAAACCATTCGTTGGTAAAGACCATCACATTATAACGCTTCTAAGGCTGAGAGGGAGAGCATATTCGGGGATTCGAACTTGCGACCCGCAGATTGCGGTGACATAAAGTTTTAATTTTGCTCAAACGTAAAATCGTCACTGTCGTTATAAGTCAATTGTTACTTATCAATCAGACAAAAACACTGGAAAGAAACGTGCCTGTACTTTGTGTTCTATACACTTTCATACGTACTGTATAGTGAATCATGTTAAAAACAAGGGCAACCTTTCCCATTGTGTTGGAAATATAAAGAAATGCAATTTATTTGACAATCCGGATCTGTTGTATTTATTATCATGCGTTACATTTGAATATCTTTCACGTTTGTACGTTTCGGTGCATTGAAAGTGTTTCAAAGATGAAAAAGATTTGCCTCATAATTGATTAAAGAGGAAACGCAACGATGAAAAGTTATTTAAAAACCAAAAAATAAAATATGACACAAAAACCAGGTTGGTTTGGACTGTTTCCAAGGAGACTACATACATACATGCGCAATCATTGTGCCTAGTAGGCCTTACCACATTCCTTAAGTTAATGGGTCTTCGGACTCAAGCTGAACCTGTTAGTTCTAAGCGTCTCCTGTGTACAGAAGAAAGAAGCACACTCGCCTCAGGAAGAAGGCTGTATCTTCTACTGGTAATTATGTTGAACGATTACAAACACGGCTCACCTCGCCAAATCGTGTAATATTGCTGTGATAATTACACGAACCAAACACGTGTACCACACCACGACAAAGATGTCAGTTCTTCCGGTACACCAGGTACTTGGTATGCATGAAGTACCTCCTGTATCTTCATGTGCATTAGCTTTTTTATTTTTATTTTTTGGTCTGTCATTCCACAGTTCTTATTACAAGCCTAATTTTCAAATGATCTTATAAACTTCGAGAGCTTTGTTCAATTTTTTATGACATACCAGCTATAAAACTAATCTGGCCTTTCACTGAAACCTATCGGTTGCACTGTTAACTAAACCCTTTCGAAACCGCTTTAATTTAGTTCCCATCCAAATAGTTTAATAAGTTACACGTGATAATAAATAGAAACAAAAACCAAACCTTTCTTAATCTGTCTTATGCTTTATTTCTGTTGTTTTTGTTCACTCAGAAATCTCGAACACCCAAGGCTAAGCTACACAGTGTCGTTAGTTTTAAGTGTTCATGAGCACGAGCAGATGCTGTAGCCTTGGTATGACCTAGTTTATCCGTGTTTATAGCTTTGTAGAACTGTACTCGAAAAGCCCTACTGAAATTTATATAGTCGAACTGTGCAGATGAATTTTAAACATATTATAAGACCAAGAAATGCCGAGAAAAATTATGGATTAGATAGATAGACGACTATTTGGTTAGAGAGAGAGACTGTAAACAAGTTCTTTTTTTATATAAATTATATTTTGAATTTGTATGTTCAGGCAAACAAAAGAAGAAGTTGTTTTCAAGTTTTCATTGATTCTACAAGTGATCTATTTCAGGGTTATTCAATGTACGAAAATTGTGCCAATAATTTGAGAAATTCAAATTAAAGGTTCTAAAAATATGTAACGCATTTGGTTAGCTTATTGTATTTCAATTTTGTTATATAATTCATAGAAACAAATTACCTTTTTTTTCTCGTGCATTAATTAATACCCTGTAAAATTTATTTGTTTGTTTGTTTTGAATTTCGCGCAAAGCTACACGAGGGCTATCTGCGCTAACGGTCCCTAATTTAGCAGTGTAAGACTAGAGGGAAAGCAGCTAGTCATCACCACCCACCGCCAACACTTGGGCTACTCTTTTACCAACGAATAGGGGATTGACCGTCACATTATCACGCCTCCACGGCTGAAAGGGCGAGCATGTTTGGTGGGACGGGGATTCGAACACGCGACCCGCAGATTGCGAGTCGATCACCCTAACCACTTGGCCATGCTGGGCCCAAATTTATTAGTTACTAGCTGGAGTACCCGTCCCCTGGTCGGAAATTATGTAACTTCATGATTAACGAAAGTTATCTTGGGACATGAAGAGTTGCTTCCGTTATATGTAATTGTAGAAAACGCAAAAACGCCCATAAAAACTGCAAAACACAAAATGTGAAACCTCAAATTCGCATGTATATCTGCATGAACCCAATAAATTTTCTTGCCAAATTTGGTGAAGAGCCATCAACAGGGAGCGAAGTAGTGGTATTAAACGCGAAAACGTACATAAAAACCGAAAAATGCAAAACTGAAAATTTGTATGTGTCTCCCCATAGACCTAATGATCCTCTATACCAAATTTGGTGAAGATCCATCTACAGACAGCGAAGTAGTGGGAAAAAACGCCCATAAAAACCGCAAAACGCAAAATGCAAAACTAAAAATTTGTATGTATCTCCCTATGGATCCAATGAACCTCTATACCAAATTTGTTGAAGATCCATCTACAAACAGCGAAGTAGTGGGGAAAAACGCCCATAAAAACCGCAAAACGCAAAATGCAAAACTAAAAATTTGTATGTATCTCCCTATGGACCTAATGATCCTCTATACCAAATTTGGTGAAGATCCATCTACAGACAGCGAAGCAGTGGGAAAAAAACGCCCATAAAAACCCCAAAACGCAAAATGCAAAACTGAAAATTTGTATGTATCTCCCTATGG